GAGGCCTAGATAAATATTTTTACATGTTTTTCAATATTTTATTCTCAATATTTAATCATGTGCATTAATAGTGAGAAATAAGTAGATTTTTGGTTTTAATCCAAAACCTGGATAACGTATTTCTAAAATACTAACAATATAATGACTATAAAGACCATAAATTAATTTTCGATTCTTAGGAGTACCATATTTGATTTTTTTTTAATAGTTAAAATGTATTAGATATTGTAACTAAATATTGTAATAAAAAAATAAGCTTGTGTTTGTGGCTTACGTCACACATATATTAATTATTTTCAACCTAATTAACTTGATGAGTTTAGACATTTACTTTAAGGTGTTCATTTGGATGGATCAGTTCGATGTGATCCAATAAAGTGAATCGAAATTAATTTCGGTTTTCAAAACATCGATCAAAATAGTTCAAACTAAATTCAAATCCGATCTGATCCAATCAAATTACAATTCGGTTGGATCGGTTTTTATAATTCGGCTTTCAAAAATCGGAATATTTTTTAAAATTACATATAATTAGAATATTATCTAACTTTATAAAAGAAAAAAAAAACAAATAACTTAGTTGTGTTTTAAAGTTTATAAACAACTACTCAAAAAGTATATTAAAGTTTTATATTTTATAGATAAAATACTTTAAGAGAAAATACATATTAAGGTTTTTTATTAGGTGAAACTTTTTTGAATCTATTTGAAAAAAAAAATAAAAAAATAATAAATAATTATAGATATTAATAAAAATAAATAAATAATAATTTGTTATTAGGTTTTTTTGAACTACTCGGTTCATATTTTATAAACCAAAACCATTCTGAAATCCAAAGTAATAATTTGGTTTTATTGAAAACCAATCCGAACCAAATAGTCAAATCCAAAATTTTCAATTTGGTTTTATCCAAATAATGAACAACCTTATTTTTAACGAATATTTTTAAACAAACACTTTCAATATTGTTACAAAAATTTCATCGGTTTATTGTGTACATATTGGTGAAACATAAATTTTGTTATATAAATTGGTAAAATATCTAAATTATTATTATTAAATAAGTAACAAGTTTATTTATAAGTTAATAAAAATATAAAGTAAAGAAAAATGGCTAATTTATTTTTATTATAATATTATTTACATTTTTTCTACCGACTAAGTATAATATCTAATCTTTAAATTATATGTGTATAATTATTCGATGTATTTATCATTTTTTTGACACTAAATTCATTCGTTCATCACGTGTATACAAAATATAAAAGGTGGCTATAGATGATTAGTTGTTGCTTATTTTTTTTCTCGGATTTTTGTTATGTAATATTTATAAGTTTAGAAAAAGGATGAAGATTTGTTCGAATTTTATTTTTCTTATAATATTATTATATGTTTTTTTACAATCAATGATAACGTGGGACTAACACAGCTGGTAGACTGTTTCTTAGATTGGAGATCTCGAGTTCTAATTGAGACGTTTGACGAGTGTGTGATACTAACTTTTAACCATTGACCCCGCCGTTAAAAAAAATGATATTAGGTTAATGGAAAATAAAATAAAAAGTAAAATATATTAAATCTGTGGGTTTACGATTAAAAACAAGAATAAAAAAATTGTTGAAAATTTATTTGGAATTTTTTTAATAATGTTATTTATATTATTATATTATAAAAACAATATTATTGTTTTTTTATCACCTTAATAAAAATAAGTTTAAAACAATTAATTTTTAATAAAGTTAGTAATAAAAATATTATTAAATAATAAAACAATACTAATTAGTTTATAAATAATTAAATTAAAAAATTAGTCAAATAATAATCATATCATAATGATTACCTAAAAAGTAAAAAGTAAGATTATAAGGGGGTGTTTGGTACGGGGAAATAAAAGCAGAGAAAATGAATTGATTTTTTTTCCCTTGTTTGGTTAATAAAAAATAAAGAATTGGGAAATAAATCAATTCATTTTCCATCAAAATAATTCTCTATTTTTAAAAGAGAAAATGAGAGAAAAGAAAGAAGAGGCGTGACCGAGAATCTCAAAAAAAAAAGTGGAGAAATCGATTTGCCCCCATTCGAACCCCAGTCTGTGCAATCGGTCAAGATTTGCCAATCGATCAAGAGGTTTCAAGCCTCAAGCCGATTACCATGCAATCGGCCCACGTAATCTTGATTGCCCTACGTACGTCGATACATAGGATCAAGTCATTCACGACTGTGTTGCTTCATTCACGCATAGCTTCTTCTTGGGCGATTTTGGCATCATCTTCTTCCAATCGAATGTATGATTGTTAATCTTGTTATGAATACTTCCAATTCAAGAATTCTAATTTCGAAATTGTGTTAGAATCTTGCTATGATCGATTCTTTTTATAATTTTAAATTGTGTTAAAATCTTGCTATGACATTATCGATTCTTCATATGTTAAAAATAACTGTGTTTGAAATCAAGGTATGACAATACTTGTAGATTAGTTTTTTTTATAATGTTTCAGCACTTTTTTAGAATTTTTGTCCAACTTTAAAACCTTCATAAGAGCTCCCAATGAGGTGATTTTCTTTCCAGATTGTAGCCTTTTGTCTTGGCTATGTTTTAGAGTCAAACAATAGCTTATTTGGTTAATTTTTGGCTGAGATATAACCCTAAACAGGGGCTGTTAATTTTTTTTTTGTTTCTGCACTTTTTAGAATTTTTGTCCATCTTTGAAACTTCATAAAATCTTCATACGAGCTCGGAATAAGGCAATTTTTTTCCCAGATTGTAGTCCTCTGTCTTGTCTAGGTATTAGGCTCAAGAAACAGCTTATTTGGTTTGGTTTTGGTTGAGTTATGTAGCTCCAAACAGTCGCTGTTATAACTTTTGTACAATATTTCAACATTTTTTTTATCTTTTTTATCCAACTTTGAAACATTATAAAATCTTCATACGAGCTCGGAATGAGGTGAAATTTTTTCTCGATTGTAGTCCTCTGTCTTGTCTACGTATTAGGCTCAAGAAACAGTTTATTTGGTTTGGTTTTGGCTGAGTTATGTAGCTCCAAACAGTGGCTGTTAGAATTGTTGTAGAATATTTCAGCCTTTTTTAGCTTTTTTATCCAACTTTGAAACATTATAAATTCTTCATACGAGCTCGGAATGAGGTGATACTTTTTCTCGGTTGTAGTCCTCTGTCTTGTCTACATATTAGACTCAAGAAATAGCTTATTTGGTTTGGTTTTGGCTGAGTTATGCAACTCCAAACAGTGGCTGTTAGGATTTTTGTAATATATTAAAGCATTATTTTTTTTTGTTTTTTTGTCCTAACTCTTCATTGTTTGTATATATGTAGATGACACGAACATCTTTGCAACAACGGATTGTACGAAATAGACAAAATGTTATGACATCCGCCGTAAGAGCATTTTATGCAATGTATGTTATGATTCGCTGGTGGATGATGAATGATTTTGCTATGAACCGTTTTGAAAATGATACAATATTACGGGAAAAATACTTAATGAGTTACCATAATGGACGTGATAGTATTCACGATATGGTTTATAAAAGTGACAAAACAAGTGTGGATAAGAATGAATAGAAATGCATTTACAAGACTATGTGACATGCTTGAACAAAGAGGAGGGTTGAAAAATAGCAAAAACATGTTAGTTGACGAGCAAGTTGCTATGTTCTTACATGTACTTGCACATAACGAAAAAAATAGGATTATAGTAGAAAGATTCAAACGGTCAGGTGACACTGTAAGTCAATATTTCAAGTTAGTCTTAGATGTGGTATGTCGATTACATAGAGTTCTACAAGAAACCCGTGCCAATACCCGATGATGAAACCGACGAGAGGTGGAGGTGGTTTAAGGTTAGTAATTAATTA